GTCGTCTTTGTTTTATTTTAGTTGGGAAGTGTGTTTTCTTTTTCTTTTTCTTTCTGCAACCTTACTCTTTTATTTCCGAAACAAAAACAACCAAAAATAAAATAAAAATAAAAACATCAATAATGCAGTAGGAATCATTTCTTCACAGTGCTCGGTGTCTCGACCATTGGAGCTTTGAGTTTGGCCTATGGCTGTCCTCTTCTGGATTTTCACGCACAGCCTCTTGGGGCTCATCACTTGAGCTCCCAAAGATCGCAATCTTAGCCCCTTGAAGTTGCTGGTCATGCTGACCTCAGCATGTGCTGGTTGGATGCTTGGTCATGGTGAGCTAGGTATGAGCTATCATTTCTGGTTGGAAGCTTGGTCATGGTGACATGAAGATGAGCTAGGGCTGCTGGTGGGATTGGGTTTAAGTCCCAGCTTACACAACCCATTGGTGCTTGTTGCTTTGAAGCATGGAATTGGATGTGTGTTGATTTTCCTTTTCATTTTAGTTTTTATTTCCTAATCCTTTTAATTCCATTTCAAGTTTGTGTGTTTGTTTTAGCAATTTGTGACAGCTTAATAAAAATGGAGAGAGATGGCAACCTCAATCATAAGAATGGGAAGTGTGGAGCAATGGGAGAAGGCGACCTCCAAGTGCATCCATGCTCGACCTAATCGCTTCAAGGGGGAGCATTTCAATCCTTTATTTTCTTTGAATTCTGTTTATTTCCGTAGTTGTTTTTACCTTTTGGTCCACGTTGAGTTCTTTGTTTTTCTGTGCTGAATCCAACCATATAAAGAACGTAAAAGTTGGACTTATGGTTGGAAAGTTATAGCCTAAAAACTGAACAGAGGTCGAAGCTGAAAAACATAGAAACGAATCTGTCCAAATGGTGATAACTAGATGATAGAAAGTGCTGTTTGTGTTTTTCTTTGGTTTCTTGGTTTGTTTCTTTTAGTACAACAATTTATTTCGTTTGTTTGAGTTTGTTTAGAGTACTTAGTTCATTTTCGTTTATGGTTTGTTGTTTCATATTATCTTAATTTGTTTTTGTTTCTTTTTCTTACGAGAATATCTTTAAATTTTATTATTTTTTTTTAAAAAAAAAGATTTTTCATATGAGCTGACTTATG